GTTGCTAGAGTGACATTTCCAAGTGAGAGGAAAAGCATTTAGTCCTTCTCCCTCCTGCCAGTTCTCCTATGCTGTCCTTTCCCTGGGCTTCCACCGTTAGCAGAGTTTTAAGCCTGGCAGGATGAAAAGTAACCTGGGATGCAGTGGTTGTCTGGGAAGATCAGCAGGCAGGAGGATTAAACTTCTCTCCTGTTGACTGATTCTCCCCTGTAAATGCTTCCTTTATACACATACATTGTCTTGGGAAGCTGAATTTGCATGTTTACAAGGTACAAATGCATAAGGGGTTCACAAATTTTGGATCAAACCCATACATTTTGTACTACTCCTGAGGAGAAAGGTATTTGTCAGACCCTTTTTTGACAGACATATTGCAATGAATATCGGAGGTTTGTGGAGCATCTTTAAGGCTCTCAATGGCTATGGGGTGAGATAGTTCTTTTTTGATAGTTACAAGCTGATTAGCAGGGTGATGATAATCACTGTTGCCCTGAACTTTGGGGATGCTCAGAAACCAGGGTGACATCAGAGCGGGACCACACTCTTTTCCAAGATATAGAGATGAGTAGGACCAAACTTCAGAGGACAGCGGAAGACAGGAGGGCCTGGCGGGATCTTGTCCATGGGGTCGCGAAGAGTCGGACTCGACTGTGCGACTGAACAACAACAACAAGGACCTCTCACCGGAAGTTTTTTTAAAAATGTGCTTACCAGTGTTGAACCCATTTGTGGATCCCTGCAAATTTAATATTATTATTTTGCAACTGGGACAGCATTAATTTATTTGTGGACAATCCTATTTGTAAATGGATAAAGGTAATACTTCCCTGTTTCATCCTCCTTGATTTATATCAGGCTTTTAATACAGTGAGAAAAGGTGTAAACAGCCCTACTAGCCCAAGCTTGCGTAGTGTTTTGTGTTAGTCTCGATAAAAGGTATTCCATTAGTTTTGTGGTGTTTTTTTCCTCTGAATTTTGATACTGTACCATGGCATCTTGTTAAAGCATAGGAAAACAAGACTGGGGATAAAGGGAACAACACTTCAGTAGTTTAAACCAGTCTTCTTGGGTCATAATCAGGTGTATTGGGAGAAGAGCATAGTGGTGTTTTAGAGCCCAGCCTTGCTACTGAAGATATCCACAGTTAGCAACACAGTAGTAGTTTTGTGCAGTATTAATGTATACATTATAACAAAGGGATGTTAATTGTCATGTTGTTAGATGCACCTCTAAGATGCTGGAAGTTGATTAAAAGCTGTAGATAGGCCCTGGCAAGAAATTTTTATGTCGTAGTCCGTGAGTTAGACTGCAGTCCATCAGTTAGACTGAGATGATGTTAACATTTCAACATTTACTTTTATGTGTGTGGCCAGTAATTTGAATAACATAGTTAAGGGGTTTTCAAGCTTGAGCAAACCCCTATTTGATTAAAATTGTTTTACAGACCCCCTAAGCGTACCATAACTGGAACACATTACATGACAGACAGCCCCCTTTCAGAGTGCGCACAGCAAGCCAGAATGTCCTCACAACTATACAATGAAATTCATAGCCAGCTGCATTTTAAATGCAAGTTTAAGAAAAATGTTTTTAATTGCCTTTACATAGCCTACAGGGTCAAATCTCAGAGTAGCTAATTCAGAAGGGCATAGCTCAAAAGGCTGTGACCCAAGTTCTAGTCAATCTTATGCTTTCACTGGAAAAGTGTTTATCGTGGAGAAAGCAAGAAACTTAATAATTTCTAGGCATGAGGCTAGCTGAACAGGTGGGAAGGGAGCTAGAAAAACTTTCAGAGCTGCTCACAGAAATAAAAAAGACAGCTTTATGCACAGCTTTAACTTCCAGCATTCATTTGAAAAGCAGCATTGGCTATTACTGTCTATGGATACAGAATGGAGTCTGTAGTGACATCTTTGAATTTAGGGATGCAACCTCCAGGTGGGGTTTGGAAATTTCCTGGAATTACAACTTAGCTCCAGAGTACAGTTCCCCCGGAAAAAAATGGATGTTTTGGTGGGTTGACTTTATGGCGTTACAGCCTTATATCCCACTGAGGTCCTTTCCCATCCCCAAACCCCACCCTCCATAAGCTCCATCCCTAAATCAACAGAAATTTTCCAATGCAGAATTGGCATCCCGTTTTGCATTGGATAATAGAGTGAAAACCAGTTCAGTTTTATACTAGACTAGGAAAAAGGCCTGTTGTGGAAATAAATGCAGTAGACTCTAGAAAGAGGCTCTGGACGGGTGCCCCGACCTTGGATACTCAGTGTCAATTTGCTGTGGCGACCTCAGCAGGGTATAATGGTACTGAGTCCACCATTTTCTCCAGAGGAACTGATCTCTGCTACCTAAAGAACAGTTGCAATTTTGAGTGATCGCCAGCCCTCACCTGGAGATTGGCAATGATGGTTCCCCAGAAGGGAATGGTTGGTTTGGAGGGTGGAGTCTATGGCTTTGTACCTGTCTGAGGTCCCACACCTCCTGAAACCTCACCCTCTCCAGGCTCCATCCCTCACATCTCCAGGAGTTTCCCACCTGGAGTTGGCAACCCTATCTCCTTCCCAGCCAATCATCAACCTACCTTTATTCCCCCCTCACTCTTCAGCTTTCCACCCCCACACACCTGCAGCCTCCCCCGTGCTCTGAAGCCCTGACTGCTTCGTCACATTGGCTGTCATACGGGGGCCACCTCAGCAGCATATAAGGATACAGAGCCCACCATTTTCTCCAGGGGAAGTGATCTCTGCCATCTGGGAAGCAGTTGTAATTCTGAGTGATCTCCAGCCCTCACCTGGAGATTGGACACATTTTACCTCAGAACAGAAAACTGTTCAGAATGTTAGAGGCAAAAGCCAATCAAGTCGCATATGCAAACGACCTCTGTGTTCCGAGGCAAAGGCCAATGAGGCTGCATATACAAATAACCTCCGTGTTCTGACTGGCTACCGGTGTGGGGGAACAGCAAACTGTTTAGAATGTTGGAGGCGAGACTCAAGCAATGCAGCCAGTGGATAGGGACAGATTCTGAGTGACACACCAGGGTGCCAAACAATTCCAGAGCGTATGTTTTCTGGCAAGTGTTAGAAACTAGGTGGCTATGAGATCCTTCTCTTTGAAAGAAGGGAAAACAGATTCTGCTACAATCCCATAAGCTGGAGTGTCCTTGCCCTTATTCCTAGATGAGTGAGAGGGCTCCGGATATATGGAGTCAGTCATGTACATCTGTAAACTTTGATGTAATAGGAACCTGATCTCAATACCTGAATAGTGAACTGTGTTTTCCCAGTGTAGATATGCACATACGTAAACTCTTCCACTGAAATCAAGGAGAATTTAACAGGCACAATCAATCCTGTTGCATCATTTGTACCTCATCCAGCTGTCCAACTATTACTTCTACTTGGGCAGATAGTAGAGGTACCAATAGGAAAGATCAAAAGTCCAGTAGCATCTTACAGACTAACAAAATTTGTGTCACCTCTCACTTCTTGGGATAACTGAAGATATCTGAAAAAGTGAGCAGTAACTCACAAAAGCTCATACCTGCCACAAATTTTGTTGGTGTTTAAGGTACTACTGGACTCTTGCTCTTTTCAGCTGCTACAGACAGACTAACACAGCTACCCATCTAAAGGTACCAATGAAAGCTTGATATATCTGTGAATCAATTCCTTATGAATTGGCTTTTTTTGCTTGGGAATAATTAATTGGCTTATTGCATTATTACCCTTATTAGATAAAAGAATCAATCTCAGTGTTGTTTTAGTGGGAAGAACTGAATGCAACCTGTATCTGGGATCTGTACCTTTTGCAAATGTATACGTGATTTTATTTTACCTTATCTTAAAAAGGTAAAGGTTCCCTTGCTCGAAAGCCAGTCGAATCCGACTCTAGGGTTGCGGTGCTTATCTCCGTTTCAAAGCTGAAGAGCCAACGCTGTCCGAAGACGTTTAGCACGTTGAGAAAGCTTTTCAGATATGCTTAATGATGCACAAGGCAAATTGGTATTCCATAAAAACAGCATTTTCTGGAAAAGCTTTTTGTTTTTTTGCACATTCACTTTGTTTCACAGTTCAGTATGGTCAGCCTCATGTTCATATTAGTTTTAAAAGATTGATATTACTGTTATTCTTTGATCCTGTCCCTTTGTATGTAACATATTGCAGTGTATGTTCATAAATAAATGTTGCCACTTAGTTGAAATAAAAACACAAAGGTCATTTGTACTCTGTGTTTCTGTACTTCATTTCTAATAGCCACATAGTGATTGCCAGCCCATTATGTAATCTTCATGTTAAACTGTTTCCAAAGGTTATGTTAATAAATATTGATTATTTTGCCAAGTTCCATCAGAGCAGTAGAACAAAGTTTGACTCCAGTGGTACCTTTAAGACCAACAAAGTTGTATTCAAGGTATGATCTGTCTTCCATCAGAGCAGTCTTTCAGTGCTTCCAAGATACATAGAAACATCTGATAAACGCTTCTTAGGATTGGACCAATAGCTGAACAGGAAATACCAAAAGGCTTTAAGTACACCCAGTTTCTTTAATATGTTGCTATTGTGCCTTGTTTGCAGAATATAAACTATATAGATGTAGTTAGTGTTAGCTGTGAAATTTCA